CTGTACCGGTGCGACCAGTGTCCCCAGGTCTTCAGGTACCTCTCTCGGTTCCAGCTGCACCAGAGGAGGCACAACAACGAGCGGCCCTTCGTTTGCGCCACGTGCAGCAAAGGCTTCTTCTAGGCCTCGGACCTGCGCGTGCATCAGCTGATCCACGCGGAGGAGCGGCCCTTCCGCTGCGACCGCGCCTTCAGCCACCGGACCAACCTGCTGGCGCACGAGCGCATCCACATGGGCGCCAAGCCCTACGCGTGCGCTCAGTGCGGGAGGACCTACCGCCAGTCTTCCACCTACCACCGCCACCTGCGGATGCACCAGAGGAAGGCCTCCACGCCCGGGGCCTCCATGCACTGAGCCTCTACGCCCCGGGCCTCCATGCACAGAGCCTCTATGCCCCGGGCCTCCACATCCATGGCCTCCACGCCTGGAGCTTCCTCCCTGTAATGTGTGTGTGTTTGTAGATATATTTATTTTATTTATTTTATTTTATAAATGCACCAGAGGAAGGTCTCCACGCCCGGGGACACCACGCCCCAGGCCTCCACATCCAGGGACTCCACGCCCAGGGCCTCCACATCCAGGGCCTCCATATCCAGGGCCTCCACATCAAGGGACTCTATGCACAGGGCCTCCACATCCAATGACTCCATGCACAGAGACTCCACATCCAGGGCCTCCACGCCCGGAGCTTCCTCCCTGTAATGTGTGTTTGTAGATATATTTATTTTATTTTATATTTTTATTGATTTCAGGGAGGAAGGGAGTGGCTGACACGTTTCCAATGACCAATAGTGGTTGAATAAATAAAAGTGTATTGTTTATTTCTTAAAATCCAGATATGTGTCTGAGGTGGTGTGGAAAGCCGGCTCCCAGGTGGCTAGTGATATGGGTCGTGGGAGGTGCAGCAAGTAAACGAAGCTTGATCAGGTGCATGTAATTGTGTAGATTGAAAACCCACGAGAACATTGTAAACATCTTGGCCACGCCCGCACTTTGCCTCATGGAATCTGGCTATAAAATAAAGACTCCGTGTGCAGGCAAAAAAAAAAAAATATATAAGCTTTCAACTTGAGTTAATCTTATCAATATTTTACTTTTATTTAATTTCTTAGCATCATTATGATATCTTAGTTTCTCAAAGTCCTCCTATACTCTGCTAATGACAATATTCACTTCACTCTGTTACCCACAAAAGTAGCCATACTTAAGTCATTCATGGTGATTTGGAAATTCTTCCTAAGTTAGTGTTATTAGCTCTGGTTTCCCTGCTGTTACTTTAGCTGCTCTTGACCCATATTTTGGCCTCCTGTCTTTCCACATGTGTCGTCAACCCACACTCACTTTATCTGCCACTTCCACTAGACATGCCCCCATTTGTCAAGTCAGCGGAGCCTCACTAGATCTCCCACACACTTCAACTTTTGGTCTTCATTTGAACTCATATTGTCTACCTGATGCTAAGGTAACTTGCCAATATTTGTTTCCTCTTCCCTTATTATGTTTAAAGGATTACTGCAGACAATTATAAGAGTGCTGAGTTGTCCTTAATCATTGGTGCTCTCTAACATTACCGCGGGTTTCAACGCTGCATAATAATCTGTTGCAAACTGCTTCAGCTCCCTTCCAGAATCTCTCAAAACCTCATCCATTTTTTTTCACTGATTGTCATCAAGATAACTTATTTTTGGATTCCACTTTCTTCGGCAACATTTAGCCTGTGTCTAAATTTGCCCCTCACAATCTTGTGCTGTCCAGGCTACTGGGAAACAAACTTTGGAATAGCCTTCTGGACCTCTAGCTAAATGGGGAGTTTAATTATTTCTTCCAAAATTAGTAGAAGAAAGCTTCCACATTGTCTCCACATCAACAAAGATTATGGATTCAACACACAAACAGCAATAGGGAATATTCAGAGTGAGAAGACATGCTGTACCCTGGCTGGGGCAGAGAGCAGCCTATTCTCTATATACTTAATAACTAAAAGCAAGACATTAAGGGAGCCACTCCTGCACCTGCTATTTGCATGTGAATAACATGTAAGGAAGCCCATAGAATCACTTAAGAATGAAACTGTGTTGTGTCTTTGTCATGCATTATTTCCTAAAACCATATAGGATGTAGTATCTAGATCTGACTCTGACTGTTAAAACTTGGGTCAGCCATAAAACCTCATGCAGCTTCAGGATTTTAAGTGTAGAGTTAGGAAAGTCACACCACTACCCCCAACACTGTTTTCATATTTAAAATGATACATTGCATGTAAAGCATATAGCCAATGTCTGGAACATAGTAAGTGCCCAATAAAGTGTACTTATTTTAAACATTTATTTTTTATTTTGAGTTGATATATTAGTTTCAGGTGGACACAATTGTTATTAGACTTTATGATGTAATCACCATGGTAAAAAGTAGTATCCATCTGACACCATACATAGTTATTACAATGTTATTGACTATATTTCCTATACTGAACTTTACCTTCCATTCTATTTTTATAAGTGGTAGTTTATACTTCTTAATCCCTCTCACCTTTTTCACCCAGAAACCCCACCCCCTCCCATTTGGGCCATCAGTTTGTCCTCTGTATCTATTAGTTTGTTTCTGTTTTGTTTTTTATATTCGACATATAAGTGAAATCAATGATATTTATCTTTAAGTAGTACTTTTAAAGCAATAAATAATGAGCATCATGTGAAAAAGTAAAAGTATATTATAGTGATAGTTGATGCAAAAACAACTGCATCCAGAAGAATGTTCATTCAGTTATTTCAAGACAAAACTGACTTAAAACAAACACAATCTCAGAAATCTTCTTCATCCCCTCAATTGTGTTATGTCCCCATTTAATATGTAATATATATATTATTTATTTTTCCCAAATTACAAGGTGGATCTTATCCACTCCCACCTCTTATCACTTTTTAATGACCTCTTCACTGAGAACATATTATCATTGACTCCTGCTAAGTATTCCTGCCACTGTATTCTCTGGCCTAGACAGTGTATCCTTCTAACTGTTGATAGTTTGATATTCCGAAAAATGCATTCTAGGAAAGGCCATAGGAGGGTGGCTTACCATCTAACTATTTGGGAAGAAGAACAAAATGACTGCCACAGGAATAGTTCTCAAATCCTCTAATCACAAAAAGACTATAAATTCTTTTAAGGAAAGACTCATACGTTATTCACTTTTGTAAACCTCCTGCCACCTGCGATGTGGCCTGGTTCAAAATATAAGTTCTTCCATAAAAATTGAACTGGGCCCTTGATGCATGTCATTATTCAAGTCCCCATTGTTATGTTATCAGAGAATATTCCCCCTCATTCTTATTTATTTTAGCTACTAGTAAGTGTGCTGCAGAATTTAACACAATGCATGGTGCAGAGGAAGGAGAAAATTAGCCTTTGAGACTGGGGCAGGCCAACATGCTTTATTATTCTCCTTTCTCTGGTATCTCAGAAATTGCCACATTTAGCAATTCATTTTGTTCAAAGTTGAATTATAAAAAATGTTAAAGTTTGTGAAAGTAGTCAGATAAAAATGGACAGAGTTCTGGATGAATTGACTGGACAAAATCTAAATAAGAAGAAAACTCAGAAAGAAGTCATTGACTTTGTATCATATTCAATGCCAACATAAAGTTAGATAGTGAGTCTATTTTTTTTCCTTCCAGGTGCATAGGTTTTATTTTCCCCAGTGTAAGACAGGTAGGAAAAAGGATATTTAAGAGAGTCCTCTAAAAGTGCAACTGATGTGTTCTGTTTGTTGTGCAGGCATATAAATGTGAACTTTAAACTTTTCTTATATCACTTTCTCCACTCCAACTATCTTAGTTCAGGCCACTTTCATCCTAAACTGCTGTATCAGGTCAGCATCCTAAATGCCTCCTTACCAACTCAATGCAATCCGCTCTATACTCGTTCTTTGGTGTTCCATATGGTCCCTTTGACTGAAATCATTCACAGACATTCTTTTTCCTACTGGAAAAACATGCCAATAATTTTAATAGGTATACATTCCCTCAAAATCATTCTAATGTACCTGGCTAATTGTCAAATGCTTTCAAAAAGTCATTTTTTATTTCTAGACAGAGGCCATTGTAAAATATATCCTATTTGGTAAAAATCTCAGAAGATTGTAGGACAGGAGAAGATAGATCAGAGTGGTGAAAGCAAGAAGAAAAGACACCATTTTGCTGTCATTGTTGTTTGTTTGTGTCTCACACGACCCCCCTGTTTTGGGGGCCCTTAAGATCACCCACTTTTGGATATTCACTAGAAGGACTCACTGGATTCAGCATATAGTTATCTGGCAGCTAAGATGTATTGCTCTAATGGTTAAGTGCCGGAGGCTGGTCCATCCTTGTTGCTTGACACAGTCGCTGCAGGGAAGAAACATCTGCAAAGCATATATTTCAAGGGACCTGGCATACTGTTCTTAATATGTTTGCTCCCCTTCTTAGCGCTATGTGTTCTAACCAAGGCCACCTCCCCGAGAAAGGTTGTTTCCCCAGGTGGGAATTTTTCCCTGGAGTTAGGGATTAACAGGACTAAGGAAGGGAATAAATCAGTAAAACCCCTTAACTAAGTACAAGGCTGGTAGTTAATCACCTTAACTACGAACAATCACGCTTAAGTTACATAATCTTTACTTAGGATAATCTCCTTCAGTTACTTTCTTGTAGCTTAACAGAACAGTAGAGTAGTGACCTTGGAATGGAGATAACAAACGCCCTAACCTTTGGAATAGAATGGATAGGATTAAAATCAAATGGTATAAATACAGATGTAACAGGAGAATAGAGAGAGAACCTGGCTATTCTTGATTCTATCAGAGCAGGAAGTTCCCTATGCTGCAGCATTTCTGATTTCAAGCTGGTAATGTGACCTTTTTAAAGGAGACTTCCTCCATCTTTCTTCGTATCTGTTTTGTGTGTGTTTTTAACAGGGATATGATGCACTAAAGGACCCGACGGAAATAGAACTGAAAGCATTCTAAAATGGCGAACTGCAGGGTGAAGGATGCCCACAGCATTCACGGCACCAACCTGCAGTATCTGGTGGAGAAGGTAATTTATATATATATATTTACTTTTCTAAAAGAGAACTTAAAATTTGTTTCTACCACAAGTTAACATAAGACTCACATGTTTTCTCCCTTCTCTCTACCTCCCAAATCCTATTTATTTTTCCCAAATTACAAGGTGGATCTTATCCACTCCCACCTCTTATCACTTTTTAATGACCTCTTCACTGAGAACATATTATCATTGTCTCCTGCTAAGTATTCCTGCCACTGTATTCTCTGGCTTAGACAGTGTATCCTTTTAACTGTTGATAGTTATGAGGCTGACAGGCACTGCAATTGATTGCTACAAATACCTGGAGCTTCTGTACAATGATTATAGAAAAATTAAGAACCAGAACCAAAATGGAGAGTTTGAACTGATGCACGTAGTAGATATTCCGAAAAATGCATTCTAGGAAAGGCCATAGGAGGGTGGCTTACCATCTAACTATTTGGGAAGAAGAACAAAATGACTGCCACAGGAATAGTTCTCAAATCCTCTAATCACAAAAAGACTATAAATTCTTTTAAGGAAAGACTCATACGTTATTCACTTTTGTAAACCTCCTGCCACCTGCGATGTGGCCTGGTTCAAAATATAAGTTCTTCCATAAAAATTGAACTGGGCCCTTGATGCATGTCATTATTCAAGTCCCCATTGTTATGTTATCAGAGAATATTCCCCCTCATTCTTATTTATTTTAGCTACTAGTAAGTGTGCTGCAGAATTTAACACAATGCATGGTGCAGAGGAAGGAGAAAATTAGCCTTTGAGACTGGGGCAGGCCAACATGCTTTATTACTCTCCTTTCTCTGGTATCTCAGAAATTGCCACATTTAGCAATTCATTGTGTTCAAAGTTGCATTATAAAAAAATGTTAAAGTTTGTGAAAGTAGTCAGATAAAAATGGACAGAGTTCTGGATGAATTGACTGGACAAAATCTAAATAAGAAGAAAACTCAGAAAGAAGTCATTGACTTTGTATCATATTCAATGCCAACATAAAGTTAGATAGTGAGTCTATTTTTTTTCCTTCCAGGTGCATAGGTTTTATTTTCCCCAGTGTAAGACAGGTAGGAAAAAGGATATTTAAGAGAGTCCTCTAAAAGTGCAACTGATGTGTTCTGTTTGTTGTGCAGGCATATAAATGTGAACTTTAAACTTTTCTTATATCACTTTCTCCACTCCAACTATCTTAGTTCAGGCCACTTTCATCCTAAACTGCTGTATCAGGTCAGCATCCTAAACGCCTCCTTACCAACTCAATGCAATCCGCTCTATACTCGTTCTTTGGTGTTTCATATGGTCCCTTTGACTGAAATCATTCACAGACATTCTTTTTCCTACTGGAAAAACATGCCAATAATTTTAATAGGTATACATTCCCTCAAAATCATTCTAATGTACCTGGCTAATTGTCAAATGCTTTCAAAAAGTCATTTTTTTATTTTTAGACAGAGGCCATTGTAAAATATATCCTATTTGGTAAAAATCCCAGAAGCTTGTAGGACAGGAGAAGATAGACCAGAGTGGTGAAAGCAAGAAGAAAAGACACCATTTTGCTGTCATTGTTGTTTGTTTGTGTCTCACACGACCCCTCTGTTTTGGGGGCCCTTAAGATCACCAGCTTTTGGATATTCACTAGAAGGACACTGGATTCGTATAAAAAATGAAGATTTCAAGTATGTACGCATGTTGGGAGCACTTTATATGAGGCTGACAGGCACTGCAATTGATTGCTACAAATACCTGGAGCTTCTGTACAATGATTATAGAAAAATTAAGAACCAGAACCAAAATGGAGAGTTTGAACTGATGCACGTAGTTGAGTTCATTGATGAACTACTACACAGTGAGAGAGTCTGTGATATCATTCTGCCCTGGCTACAGAAATGCTATATGCTAGAGGAAGCTGAGCAATTGGAGCCTTGTGTTAGCACTCTAGAAGAGGACATGGATGATGTCCAGTCCAGTGAAGAAGAGGAAGAAGAGGATGAGAAGTTGGAGAGAGTACCATCAACAGATCACCGCCAGAGAAGCTACTGAGACTTGGACAAGCCCCGTCGATCTCCCACACTGCGCTACAGGAGAAGTAGGCAGAGTCGGTCTCCAAAAAGGAGGAGCCCTTCTCCTCGCAGAGAGAGGCATCGAAGCAAGAGTCCAAGACGTCACCGCAGCAGGTCCCGAGATAGATGGCACAGATCCCGCTCCAAGTCCCCAGGTCATCACCATAGTCATAGACACAGGAGCCACTCAAAGTCTCCTGAAAGATCTAAGAAAAGCCACAAGAAGAGCCAGAGAGGAAATGAGTAATGGACTCAGTTTAGGTTTAGTCCAAAGAGCCTCCTGCAAATATGAAGTCATCTCTCTATGGAAGGACTATAAGATCTACTCCCATGGCAGCTATAAGAATATTTTAGGGTGTTTTTGTTTTTTAACCTTACAGTAGAGTAATCACCTTGGAATGGAGATAACAAACGCCCTAACCTTTGGAATAGAATGGAAAGGATTAAAATCAAATGGTGTAAATACAGATGTAACAGAAGAATAAAGAGAGAACCTGGCTGGAGAACCTATGCTGATCATCTGAACGCTGCCTCCGTGTCCTTCCTTCTTCGCCGACTCAGTCCACACCTTTGGGAACCCCTGGACCTGCTGGGGCTGGACCCCAACAGTTAAGGTATACAGGAAGATAATAAGGGGATAAACATAGGTAGTATCTGGGGAAATCTATGTGCAGGTTTCCTTATTCTCTCTTTTTTTTTCATATGAGGAGTCTCATGAAGCATAATCTTTCACAGCAACTAAATGCAACATGAGTTTGAAGCTCATTATTGGTAAAAATCCCAGAAGCTTGTAGGACAGGAGAAGATAGACCAGAGTGGTGAAAGCAAGAAGAAAAGACACCATTTTGCTGTCATTGTTGTTTGTTTGTGTCTCACACGACCCCTCTGTTTTGGGGGCCCTTAAGATCACCAGCTTTTGGATATTCACTAGAAGGACTCACTGGATTCGCCATATAGTTATCTGGCAGCTAAGATGTATTGCCCTAATGATTAAAGTATACAGGAAGCTAATTAGGGGATAAGACATAGGTAGTATCTGGGGAAATCTACGTTCAGGTTTCCTTATTCTCTCTTTTTCATATGAGGGGTCTCATGAAGCATAATCTTTCACAGCAACTAAATGCAACATGAGTTTGAAGCTCATTAAAGATTCAGTGCCCAAAGTATGTAGTATTGAAAGTTGGTTACAAAGTACCTTCTGCTTACTGTTTATCAAAATCTCAGACTCCCAGAAGGAAAGCTAATGTTCAGCATAATCCTATCATTTGCACAAAGAGTCTAAGGATGGTGAACCTTTCTTGTGGTTAGCTGTTGCCAAAGGTTCATCTTGCAAGCAGGTTATTCTAAGGAGAGCAGGGTCAGTCCTGCTATGTTACCCGTTTTGCTGCACACCTTCAGACTCATATCTGCACAGAATGTAATGCAAAGTGTAAGCATCAGACTTGGTGACCTAATCCTCAAAAAAGAAGCAAGGGGAAGATTGCATTCCATACCCAACATAGTGAGAGAAATGGCAGATAAAACGAATCAGATAGATGAATATATGCTAATACATCTGTTTCCTCATGAGTACAGGTGCACAATTGTGTACAATGAGTGGGAACATGTGACCATTTTGATAGAAATGCAGACCATCATACATCAAAGATGCCAACATATGCAGAAGTATTTAAGACCATAGTGAGAAGCATTGGTTCCATAGTTGTTTCCAATTCTCATTATAAATGTGCAGAAAAATCAGTCACTTTTCTCTGTGTGCCTGGAGGAAAATTTCATCAGCTATTTCACTACAGAGAACAAGATGGCTCTAATGCCACAAAGACAGAGTAAACCTCTTTGTGCATTATGACTCCACCCTGAGAGTTGGTGGGGCTTTGGGTGCAGAACAGGGAATGACTGAGTATTTACTAAATTAGATGACCCAAAACTGTATTTACCTGACGTCTGGTATGGATGAACAGAATATCAAATCTGTTAAAAAGCACATTTTAACTTAAAAGAGATATTAATGGACCAAAATCTAACTTGAAAAAAGTCCAAGTGGCAATGTTTTTAGTAGGGAATAGTTGGGGAGTTCATAAAAAATATTGCATGAATTTTATGACATAAATATTCTACAGTGTCTTTGCATATTTTTGTACTATAATTCTATTTTCAAACTGCCCATACAAATAATTGAGTGTGATACTTTCGGTACTATCTTTTCTATAAAGACATAAAAATAAAGTGATATGATCATTACTCGAGTGGGAAATTTCCTCATCCATTAGTTGATAAGGAAGGCCTGGCTCTTGAATGACAGTTTTGAAACTTGAAGGACAAAGAGAACTTTATAATTTCAAAGTTTCAAAAAAAAATAGCCGTTTCCATTCAAACTGCTCCAAACCTAGGAAACAACTTGCAAAACCCCAAATATAGAACAAGTTTTGCAAGAGCAAAAAATGAAAAGAAATTTATTTTGCAATAAGCTCTGTGATATGTAATGATGACAAAAAAGGGATCAATTTAGCATATGGAATGGGCAGAATGTGGGAAGGAAATGGGGGAAAGAGAGTCTAGGGTACTATCCAGATCTTTTCTCCTCTTTATTTATTAAAGTTCACCTTAGATGAGGTCCAAATAACTAACCCTATCCTTTGGTTAGTATATAATAAATGTAACAAAAAGTGCTAATGATAGTACTTTTAATTAAAGACAGATTTGCAAAGCAATGCTTCAATTCTGATCTCTTATTTCTTGTGAGTTTTATTACTATAAAATGTTTTAATCTTTCAAGTGAATACTGGAAGAGAACATATAATTTTTTTATACTCTCATATGTATTCACGTTTGTCATGTCTAAGGCAGATAAAGCTACTGCCTTAGCAATAATAAGCAGACATGTATAAATTTAGGGTAGATGAAAAAAAAACTGGCTTAGAAAGAATAAGCAGCAGTGTGTAAATTCTACTAAGGTTTGAATCACTGACCACTTTATAATCTTTACAATAAGGAAGGTGTAATGAACAGACACCTGGATGAAGTTTACTTCTTATTGGATATCTTTCAATGAGAACATCCTCTTAATTTAGTGGTTCTCAACGTTCCTAATGCCGCGAACCTTTAATACAGTACCTCATGTTGTGGTGACCCCCAATCATAAAATTACTTTCGTTGCTACTTCATAACTGTAATTTTGCTACTGTTATGAATCGTAATGTAAATATCTGATATGCAGGATGTATTTTCATTGTTACAAATGAGCATAATTAAAGCATAGTGATTAATCACAAAACAATATGTAATTATATATGCGTTTTCCGATGGTCTTAGGTGACCCCTGTGAAAGGGTCATTCGACCCCCAAAGGAGTCACGACCCACAGGTTGAGAACCGCTGTCTTAATTGGTATGTAGTGGGCAGTGGTGTGCAACAGAATAAAAAAATAGTCTTTATATCCTTAAGATTATGATATATTGTTTCATTATCAGCCTTCAATCCTGGAATAGTTAACTTCCCCACAATCTATTTTCACTCACTTTTTGTATAATTCAGATTAGTTTCCCACTGTTTTATTTTTTTAAATTCTCTCACTGTTTTAAAGATAGTTGAAAACATCCAAACCAGACTCTTGAATACTACTGTCAACAAGAAATAAAATACAAAGACTCCCTCATGAAAAACATGTAATAACATGAATGTTTACTCTTTATCAGCAAATAGTGAAATACGAAATTCCTGATTGCAAAACCGCTAAAATATTTTTAATAAAGCACAAACAGATATACAAAAAGCCCTTCTTCTCTTTTTCAAAACAGTTAATTATAGAGTTTTATGTAAATAGCTACTTCCCTTTAATGGAAATGTAATTCACATTTATTTATCCTGAGGTTAGCAGCACTATACTAAGTATTGCAAATATTAAAAAGAAAAAGAGAATTCCTATGGTCAAGGACATTCGTGAACCAGAGAAAGCATCTCAGGATTATATTGATCAATCCTTTAATGCACAACCAGACTGCACATGGGAAATTTCAGCCATTAACTTCCATATATGAAGGAATTTTGGGGGAGGGCTTGATAAATATTGTAATCCCTTGAGAAAAATTCAGGTAGAATGCTATCTGAAAGATGATCCCTTCCCACTAAAGTTTTCCACCATTGTAGTGCAGGATGAAAATGCTCCAGTTGGAGCAGTAGGCATGTGGGGACCTGGAGTTGAGACACAGTTCTCACAACTGAATGTGTTGGGCAAATAGGAACCTAGGATATATTCATATGTCTAAGAGTGAGTAAGGAGCCTCTTCACACACACATTCAGAAAAAAAAAAAACACTAAGAAATATCTAAATTTTCACTTTTTTTATAAAATGCTATATCTATTTTAATTTTCTATATGATATTTAACAATATTAGCACATATTTACTGACTGCATACCAAGTGTTTTGTCAAATGGGTTATTTGATTACCTACCCTACCAAATATTAATTCTTCTCCTGTTCCTGCAAATTACAAAGTACCTAGTCTTTTGGGGGGAAAAAACAGCAACCAAATACAAAGCAAAAATACTGATATTCAGGCTTTTGTTCAGGCAAAGGTAAGCAGAATAGAGAGGGCAATAGGGAATGTACAACTCCAGGACAGTTCTTCAAAATACTTTAATACACTGGCAGGCATCCTCTTGCTCTACCAACTGTCTGTTATTAAGACTAATGTTATGGAGGCTGCCACTTGCTAGGCCAATGTCGCTTCAGAGCCTTGGTTTGAAGTAGAGATCATATCAAACTTTTCAAACAATTTTGCCATTAATTTGAGAGTTACAGTGTGACGGAGGATCTTCTCAAGTACTAGGGAGAAAATTACACAGCTGTCCCTGCTTCTAATCCTATATAATAAAGAGCTAATATGCTAATTAGACTGGATAGCAGAACAACCTTCTGGAACGACCAGTGTGGGGAGGGGGGAGGTGCAGGCAGCTGGGGCCATGAGGACCGAGGCAGTTGGAGCTGCGGAGGCCTACTCTTGAAAGAATTTCGTGCATCGGGCCTCTAGTTTTAAATAATTAAAAACTCTCTTTAGCCCTATTATCCTCTCTTAGCATCCTCAGTTCCCAAAGTTCAAGATGGAATTACATCATCCAGAGACTGGAATAGACAAAGAGCTGGTAGCAGAAACATATGAACCAGGGTTAGTGGTGGTGGGATAGGAAAGTAAAAAGAATTGGCCCTATATGTCTTTCAGTATGAGAAGTCTTATGGTTTATTAATAATTTTATCTTAGACCATATCAGATGAGCACAAAGCAATCATATATCCTGCATG